GCTCAGGGCCTGGTAAGGATTCAATCAATATTAGTTATGTTTGTTTCTGTTTTGATCTGTGTATTAACTGCACATTTTTCTTAGTCTCTGTGCCTTGAGGCTAATGCTCCTCAGCCTCGTGCCTCCACCAATTACCTAATTCTAGGCATCCTTTTAGAACTAGCTCAGCGATCATCTCTTCCAGTGCCTCAGTCCCGGGGGCAAATCTTTAGGTCTGCATGGTATAGTTATCAGATGTTGTTGTTGTTGGTAAGTGCCATAGAGTCGGTTCCGACCCATAGCCACCCTGTATAGGGTTTCTAAGGAGCAGCTGGTGAGCTTGAACCACTGACCTGCAGTTCAAATGGCACTGCAGTCTGGTGCATTAACCCATAGTGCCACACCAGGACTCCAGTTACCATATAGTTAGTGTTTATATATCTGTCATCTGGTTGGTTGAGGGCATGGATGTTGCTCTGCTCATCTCTGTCTAGTACAATGCTCAAATCTTATGTGTGCTCTAAGTTCCATTCTGTGCTCCATATGCATAAAAACCATGACAAAGTGAGTATCCATCCATTACCACCATAACTCTCATGAACACACTTAACTCATTGGAACTCCAGTCTCCTGAACAAATGCTTCCTTTTTGATACATGTTTGTATCAGATACTTGCAAACCAATGAAATTTTCATAATTGGATTAGCAGGACAGCCCCATAGGCTGCCCCTGGTGTCCTTTCCTCTGGCTTCCCGGACAGGGGCTGGAATGTAGCTATCATTCTTCATTTGCTTAAGGTGGCTCCATTCTTTTACTTAAAGCCAACTCACATCATCAGAACTTCTATCTCTCTAAATTCTGCTCAAACTAGTTGTTCAATGGTAGGTGGAATTTAATGAGTCCATTTGGCACTGAAACTCAAGTCTGCTTTCATTTTGTCAAAGCAATTCAGCATTTTAGTTCAAGATGCTAATGATGGTAATTGGACCCGAAAAATCTGCATGAGAAAAAGATGAGCTGGAAGTTGGGAGGAGGGTAAATTATTGAGGCCAAGTCTGTGTAAACATTACTACACAGCCCAGAATGGGCAGCTATTTCAATTTATCATGTTAATTATTCCACCAACTGGTAGGGAAGGCCATTTAATGAATCTGCTGACCTACCAGGGTAAACAGATGAGCAGTCAATATTGGCTGAATGTGTCTGGGTTTTTTTCTTTTTCATTTTTTGGTAGGGGGAGGTGTCAATTTATTGAGTTAAATTACCTCTTCTTTCCAATAAACAAGAAGATGGCTAAAAGTGTCTGATTCTTTCCTTGATAATAGTTCACTGAATTTTTATTTCAGAAGAATGTTGAGAAGAGAGCTGTTATTACTTAACAATTATATACTTAAGCAATTGTCCCCTGACTCTAGAAGAAAAGCGTTGCTATAAGGAATCCTAGTGGTACAGTGGGTTAAGCATTGGGCTACTAACTGCAAAGTCAGTGGTTCAAATCAACCAGTTCCTCCACAGGAGAAAGATGAGGCAGTCTGCTCCCATAAAAATTTATAGTCTTAGAAACCCTAAGACGCAGTTCTACTTTGTTTTATTGGGTCATTATGAGTCAAAATCAATTCAATGGCAGTCAGTTTTTGATGGGTTTCACTTCCTATGAGATTTCTCAAAGGCTAATTTCTTTTACCAGCATCAGTAGGTTCCACTTTACAACTACTGTTCATTTTGCTAAGTGTGGAGCTCAGGAATGGGTATTTCTAGCAAGCCCCATACACATTGTAGCTAGAGAGAAGCTCTGTTCTCATGGGATGCTATATAGAGAGTGATGATAGGTTTGCCAGGAAAATGGATTATTTGTATAGATGACATAGCACAGGGGTTAAGATTCACATGAAAAAAATGGGAGGTTCTAATTTTTAACATTGTGGGTAACAAAGGAAGGGCCCAAGATGAGCATTTATTGAATTAGCATACCACTCTGATAAGGTGTACATCCTTGGGAAAGGCATTCTGTTGTTATTTTATTTTTATATGTTATAATATTACATGTGGTCTGCTGAAGATGGGGCTAGGCCAGTTGATCTTTTGAGGTCATCTTACCACGAAAATTCAGCATTTTATTCTATGTTGTTGTTGTTAAGTGCCATCGAGTCAGTTTGGACTCACAGTGACCCTGTATAGGGTTTCCCAGGAGTGGCTGATGAGTTTGAACCACCAACCTTGTGGTCCAGAGCATTAACCCACAGCATCACTCCAGGAGCTTACTTATTATAGCAGTGGAAGGCAAGAAAAGGCCAAGCAGTTGGCCTGACTGTGCAAAACTCTTGTTGAGAAACTGCTCACTTTCTAAACCCAGAAGGCCTTGCCTTCTCTTGGGATATTCAAGAACAGAACCTCAGAAACTTCTGGCACTAAGGTTTCTTGAGAATAGAAAAAGTTCATAGGAACTAGAGAATAGAAATAAGTGAGGAGATCATCTTGGAATTTATTGCCTTTAAAACATTGCTTTCTATGCTGACACTAATGTCTGCCTTATGCAAAATGCATGGCAAGTTCTACAAAAATTTGTCTACGAGGAACTTGTTGTTAGCAGCTGCAGAGTCAGCTTCTGACTCATGATGACCCCACGCACAAGAGAATGAAATGCAGTCATGTGCTGTGCCAGTTCTGTGTTAGTTATGGACAGGGCCACTGTGATCCACAGAGTCTCCAGTGGCTGATTTTCAGAAGTAGATCGCCAGGCTACTTCATAGTCTGCCTTATTAGGGAAGCCCCACTGAAGTCTGTTCACCTTCACAGCAGCACACAAGTTTCACTGACAGACAAGTGGGGGCTTGAGATGCGTTGGCTAGGAATTGACGTTGGGTCTTTTCCACGGAAGGTGAGAATTCTTCTACTGAACCGCCATGTCCTCCACACAATAAAACTTAGTCCTCTAATTTCCTCTTTCAAAGAATTACTGCAAAGCCTGCCCTCATTCTGTCTCTTGATAAACTCAAACTCATCCCTCAAGACCCAGTACATAGGTGGTCTTGGTGCTGGGTCAGAAAGCTTTCAGCTGCTAACAGAAGGTTGGCAGTATGAACTCACCCAGTGTCACTGTAGAAGAAAGGCCTGGAAATTTGCTTCTGTAGTGATTATAGCCAAGAAAATCCTATGGAGCTGTTCTGCTCTGCAACATATAGGGTCACCATGAGTTGGGGGTGGACTCATGGCAGCTAGTAGCAACAATGTTATAACAAACAGGTACTTGTAAACTGACTCTTAACATCATGGACCATATCTTTTCCACTTTAGAATCTTCAGTGCCTAGGATACTGTTGTTTCTACAGATCTTTCCTGAATGAAATGAGTTCTCAGAGCACAAGGATTAATGAGCAAGTCTAGTTTCTTCTGCAAGGTGTGCTCTGTGGGGTCCTGAACCCCTGTCGGACCCTGCTGTGAATCAGTGCACTAAGGCCCTAGCAGAGCCTGGTGCATAAATCAGTTTGCCTACAAAAGCAATCTAGGTAAGGCATGGACAGCTGGCATTCATAAATTCCGCATGCTGGTGACATCTGCCAGAAGTGCGTTTCACCTAGCATGCATGCTTTGAGCTATTTTAGAGCTAATTTACATATTCAACAGGTCAGACAACATAGCCTCTGACTAGTGAAAACATAAGCAGAATTTACAAGGTACCCACAGAGTGGCTGGCACTCTTCCGGGCTGCTTGGAAACTGCCAAAATGTCTCTCGAGGGATCTGTTCTCTCTGGGGTCTTCTGATGAGCTCATTCTCCAAACTGCAACCTAGAACTTTCTACAAGGGAAGCAGTCAGGGGCTCTGCCTGTCTCCACTTAACTAAAAGGATGCTTTACAAATGGCCTCTCCTCTGGCCACAGTCCCTTGGGACCAAGGTCACATTGGCTACAAGGAATTCTAGTGCAAGTTTCTTAGCCAAGAGTAGTGAATTGGTGGAGAGCAAGGTTTGTCAGCCAATGCTGTGAGCCTGAGACTCTAAGTAGTCCTAGCCTTTGATCAACAAAGGTCAAAGTTCTAAGACTGCAACTACGTCAACAAGCATGAACCGTTTCATCTGGCCACTTGGGAGGCTTAGTCCATCTGTTGGCTGTGCTCCTGGACTGTTGACCTCTGTTTTTCACTGAAGCAGATCGAACAGCCCTTACCCTCTGCAGTGGCTTCCTGACTTGTTTCCCTGACTCTTGTCTGGCCCTTCCAATCCATTCCCTGCTGCAGACAACATGCTCTTTGTAAAAGATGGGTCTGATCCTGTTATTTCTTCAATTCCAATCAGTCAGTGGTTCCCATGGCCTGGGGATAATCTCTAAATTCTTCATCTTGGCTCACAGGCCTCATGTGACTACTGAACCAGCTGACAGGGCTTCTTGGTCATCATTTCTCCTCCCCCACTCCTTCCAGTCCCCTTCCAGTTCCTTCCAGTTCCTTGCTCATATAAGTCGTCCCCTACCTCAAACATACATTCTCCTTTACCCTCTTCAAATGTCTGTTGTTGCTGTTAGTATGAATTGTTGTCAGGTGCCCTCAAGTCAATTTAGACTCTTAGTGACCCCATGTGGCTAAGTAGAACTACTTCATAGCTGTCTGTAATGGGAGCTTGTTCCTATGGAGCCACTGGGCAGGTTTGAACTGCCAACTTCTGTGTTAACCATTGTGCGACTTGTTATTATTGTTAAGTGCCGTGGAGTTGGGCCCAACTCATAGTGACCCTGTGTAGGGTTTCCAAGTAGTGGCTGGTAAGTTTGAACCACTGACCTTATGGTTCAAACTGACCTTTCGGTCCAATGCTTATTCTACAATACTATACCAGGTGTGTTCAAATCACCAACCTTTTACTTAGTAATCGAGCTCTTAACTATTTGTACCACTGGAAGAAACAGGGCACAAAGTAGGTGGTCAACAAATATATTATTGAATGAATGAATGAATGCCTGTGTTAGAAGAGCAACCCAGTCTCCTGTTGAAATCCAGGGAGATAGGAAGGCACTGTACACTACACTCACCGTTACAGGTGCAGCGCACGTTCCTGTAGAAACGCGGGCAAACAAAGCTGATACGAGCTGTGCTGTAGGTCATGAGTGCGTGAGAATCCAGAGACAAGCCTTGCTCACAGTGCTGTTCCTGACAGTCCAGCCCCGAGCAGTTCTTCTCCAGGATGGCAGAGATGCGCATGACATTCTCCAGGTATCTGCGGGCATTGGACAGCTTCTGGATCAAGTAGGCCGGCTTGTAGAACTCACTACTATGCATCTCTACTGCAAACAGCATATCCAGCTGGTTGGTACCCACCACCGGCTGGATGCTGATGATGTGCAGGCTGTCCTGTTTCTGGGAGAGAACTGCATTACGCAGGGTACGCCGGAAGCCCAGCATGTGCAGTCCCACAAAGTCCTCAGGGGACACATTCTCGAAGCGGATGGTGACGGTGTTCTGCAGCATCTCATGCACCAGCTGTTCCACATGCACGACCACATCAATAGGCACCTGGAAGCGGCCGTCACTTACTGAGACATTCAGGACATACTTGCCACTGTCCAGGCCGCCCAGGGCAATGATTTTCCCATCATGACTGTTGACTTTAAACAAGCTTTTCTGCTCCGATTTCAAGGCATATGTGAGCACATCATACACGTCTTGGTCTGTGGCATGGATCTTCCCAATGACCCCACCAGGAAAATCATCCTCCATGGTGACAATGAAAATCTCCAAGGGGATGGCAGTGGGTTTGTGGATACTTTCCTCAATGACCCGCACACGGATGTAGGAATGAGAAACTTGCTGGGGTTTTCCTGAGTCCTTCGCCTAAAATAACCAAGAGGGGAAAGGCAAAGAACTAAGACAAAGTCATCATAATTATAAAAAAATCTCAGAAGACATTCATTCCTTGAACCACACTGACTTCCTCCTTCATTCCCTGCCACTCTTCTGCACACTGTTGAAGGTGCACATTTAAGTAGAAGGAACCTTTATCACCTTCAATTCCCATATGCACAACTTGTTATGAACAGTAAAATGTGTCAACACAATAAAGCCAGGTGGGAGGCAGATAGGAGATGAAGGAAGACAGAAGGTGCCACAAGACCCAATATGACCACAACACGCTGATCTTGTTCTAGTTTTGGACAGAAAGCACAAACAGGCCTCATAAAATGGTGTTCCCACTTGAGGAGAAAAGTTTGTTCTCTGTTGAACTCATTCCTTTTGAATGGATCACATGGAAGCACTCTGTCCTTTTAGAAAACCATATTATTGAAGTGGAAATTGCACCATATTTAAGGTTAGAACAATAAAACAGCATATCAATAGGAAACATATATGTCATCTTCCATCTTCATATAAAAATTGACAGAATCACCATTGTGTCCTGAGCACATGCCATGGATGTTGAGGAGGTAGCCAGTGATGGGGAGAGTTTCATGAGGCTGGGACCCCAGGGTGGGTGTTTGAAAATGTGGGGCCACAGTGGATCTCACAGGCCAGGTGGAGTCAGGGGTGATGAACCCTTGTATGTATAAAAGAGAGTAAGAACAGGGTCTTGAGTATCATCCAAACCTGACTTTGCATCTTGCTCTGCTAGCCACTGCATAGCTAGCCTTGAATAGTTGTTGAACGTTTCTGAGCTTAATTGTTTATATATTTGATGTGAGTAAAATAGAGGCTCTATCACAATAGAAATATGGGGGTTAAAATGTTAATGATTGTACAGTGTTTAACTTATAGAAAATACATAGAGGATGGTAGCTAATGTGAATGTGACTGCTATCTTTATTACCACCATCATTTCATCATCACATCCTATATTTGATGAACTATGTGAACCACAATGCTGAAATGTAAGGCTCATAAGGCAGGAGGTAAGATAAACAGATTTGATTGAACTTGAAATCAAACCCTGGAGGGCCTTAAAGACAGTGGTAGGTTTGACCTTGACTGATCAGAAGTTCCACAGTCAAATACCAGAGGCCAGAAAGATGCCAGAATTGGATGTAGCTGCTGGTATAAGGTGATGGAGAGAAATGGGCCACGTATGGCCTGAGAAGACTGGAAAGTGATGCCTCCTAAAGGCACCAGCATTCAAAAGCCTAAACCATCTGGCCCAGAGTTTAGTCTGCTGGTCACACGTTTAGCCTGCAGGGTACAGGGTGGCCACACATCAAAGTTTTAGTTTAGGCAACCTTTTCTGTGACGAGCTAGATAACAAATATTTTAGACTCTGCAGGTTATTTAATCTCTCAAGCAGCCTTGGACACTACCCTATGTAGGCAAGAATAGTTAATGTTATGGTCCAATGAAACTTTATTTATGAAAACAGGTTGAGGGCAGGATTTGGCCCAGGGGCTGTAGTTTGCTGGTCACTGGTTTAGGGGAATGACAGAATCCAAGTAGAGGATTAATCTTGAAGAGGTTTAGAGTAGAAATAGATGAAAATGAGTCTGAAACCAGAGGAAGCGCCCAAGAAACTCCTGTTGTCATAGCAGTATGATAATATTGGATAGAGTGGGACGTAACTGATGCAGACAGAGACCTTTTGAAGGAAGAAACACAGGACATGCTGGAAGTGTAACATGAGGGACCGGAGGGAGAACATTCTCTAAGAAGATTCCAAAGTCGGAGACAACAAATCTCTGGTCTCTAATATGCTGTATTAGAGTTTCTGTGAGAAGGCTTTAACAACAGCTCCTTGCCTGTAAGCACTTACATTGTCATATAAAATTATTTACATGGAGGGGGTGAGTGTGGAAATGGAGGAATCTGTTGACATGTTTGAAGCCTGGAATTACCAGTTTAGAAGATTTCATGGGTGGAATACTTACCAAAAGACATAATGTATACAACTAAGTGCTAGAGAAATATAAAGAATTACTATTGCTATTATTATCACCATTATTAATGAGTTTAAGTTTCTCTCTGTGAGCAATTTTGGTGTGCAATAGGGGAAAAAAGTTACTCAGTTCTAGTGATGGGACCGAAACCTTGGTCTTGGCAAAATTCATCTTTGTGAACTTTTTGGTGTTTTCTTATTTCCAGCTCCAGCCTACACCCTTTCAAGACCTGTCATCTTTGACTTTCTGTGCTATTCATTTAACATAGCACAAAGACCTTGAAGAGTTGAAATTTGGGGAGTCATCTTCTTAAGGCCATTGCCAGCTCAGCCCTTGGTTCATGCTGGCTTTTACGGGGGAGGTCTACCAAGTGGACATTTCCTCAAAAGCTGAAGCCATCATATAGTTCAACCATCATTAAGACAATAATGGGAATCTTCCTCAATTGGAGTACTGTGGCAAATAATGCTCCATTTAAAGTAGAAAGCCTTGAACAATTAGTTGTCTTTAGTGGACAGAACTCCAGGAATTTCCAGACTGCAGACTGAAACCCAGTGGCTGTCAGCTGGGTACACTCTATAGAAGCATTCCTACTGAACAACGATGACTCCTTTCTTTCCTGTTCAATTTGACAAACACAGGCTGATTTTATTGGTGTGAAATTGAATTTGAGATTAAAAGGGGACCATTCCTGCATGGTAATGAATTATGTTGACTTGTTCAACAAAGAAAAACCAACCAAGGGGCATAAAAGCAAGTAAGAGTGAAAGACATCCTGATGCTTACAGAAAATGCTACCATACCTGGACACACAGCACATACTCGGGGGACTCCGTGTGTCTGAAGACCACAGCTGACCTCAGGACCCCATGTGGGTCCAATATAAACTCCTCCTCTTCATTTCCCGCCAAAATAGAGAATGTGAATGGAGGCCCATTGTGGAAGGAGTCTCTGTCTGTCACCACCAGCTGCAAAATGCTGGTGCCTACTGGTTTATTTTCCTGCATGAGAGATTATATTAAAGAGGAAGATAAAATTACAGCTCTATTCACATCTGAAAAAGCACAATCCCTTCATTACTGGCTGGGAGTGCTGTGCTAGAAAACAGGTCTTTTAGTAGAGGGAATTCTTGTGGTATTATCTTGTCTTCCGAAAACATGCTGGCACCTGTAGGCATTGTATTTTCAATCTTGGTTTGCTACTACACAACTATTCCATGAGATGATAAACTGCAGGTGAAGAACACAAGGACTTGTAGTGAAAGGTTTTGTAAATTTCAAGGATGGTTCTGGGCTATATTTTGTCCTCAATATGCTTGAAATACCCTGACTTTACTTGAGCAACTCTGGTAATGAAAGGCGTTTACCAGCCTTTGTGTTTATGTTGAATATCCTCTCAGATCAAGAGAGGATGCCTGTTGGAATTGGAAGGCATTTTCTCACGTTTGTCACCACATGATTATGCTGAAGCCCAACACTGTGACACAATGTTACAACATGGACCTTTGGAGGAACGGCTGACAACTTCATGCAATTATACAAAGGTATGTGTCACGTGGAGAAAGAAGTGGGCTTTACACAGATTGGAAGTGCTTCTCAAGGAAAGAGCAGAGGGCTAGAATACTTATCACTTTGAAAATGAAGAGAAAGAAAATCTTACTTATCAGAATGTTAACAATTCTCATATGATTGATTATGTAAGCATTATTTTTTTCAGACTCTCTCTGCCTTTTCCTCAAAATAAAAACACAAAGACCCTTCATTGCCCTTTTTTGGGACAAAGGTAAGCTCCACAATTTGGGTCTGAAGTGGGTTTTTGTTAGTTCATATTTATTTTATTTTTGATGCTGTGATTTGGGTAACAGTTTTCATAGCTAATAGGTTTTCCATTAAACAATTTATGCTTTTCCCTGTGTCTGCCTTTTTCATCCCTCCTTCTGTCCTACCCCTTCCAGGCTTCTGAACTTCATTCCTTGGCAAATACTCATATGACCTCATTTGGTTCTCAGATGATTTGATCTCATAAGGTTCATTGTTGTAACGAGTGTGCACCTCTTTGGTGTTACTACTCATCATATAAATCTATCTATTGCTTGGCTGGAAATTGAGGCATGGAGATGATTTCAGTTCCAAGACTGAAGGGTGAGTAAGGGACAGAGCCTTAGGGGTCTCACTGGTCTCTATCAGAAGAGTAAGTTTGGCTTAAAAAAAATTTTTTATTATTATTATTTTTATGATTTTGAGCTTTGTTTCTTATTTTTCTTCTACTCCATCCAGGACTCTCTGTGATCTCTTTCAGAGTGGTCAGCAGTGGCAGCTGGGTACCATCTAGTTCTACTGGTCTCAGGGTCATGGAGACTAGGGTTCACATGGTTCATTATTAGTCTACTGGGCTAATCGTTTCCTTGCAACTTTGATTTTCCTCACTCTTCTTTGATCCAGATGGGGAGAGATCAGTATGCACACTTTACAAGACCGCTCACTAGCTTTAAGATCCCATGTGCTACTCACCAAAATAGGATGTGGACCATTCTCTCTGTGGACTATGTTATGCCAGTTGACCTTAGTATTGCCCAAGACTACAGTCTTGAGTTCCCAAGCCCAGTGACCCCAAAGTGTTTGTATATGGCTGACGAAGTTTTCATAACTTTGCTCCTTGTATTCGCTACTATATTCATGAATTGTTTACAGTGCATATGAATACATACGTAGATGTACCCTGTGTCAAACCTGTATATATTTGTGGGGCACAGTCCCATTCATTTTCCAACCCTTGTTTAGTTTGTGTCTCTATATAAGTATCCACTTGTTGAATATTGAGTAGGAAAAAGGGAGGGATATTATTTATTTTTTTAAGGAGAAAGCCGTCTTAGTTTTCTCTTCCTCTCAAGTGCCCCCTTGGTCATTAAGAAGGAGGCACTGTTTCTCTCTGGAATCAGTCATGTGACTGCCTGAGCCCAGTGTTGAGTTACTATTTCACATTGACAATATACTCAGTACCACACAAAACAGAAGATTTATTGATTTGTTTGCTCACCCTATAAAGGCCGATTCCTGCACATGTGAGAAGAGGAAGAGAAAATGTATGCCCTCAGGGTCACCCTCTGAGAAAAAAGGGTGAAACACGACACAGGCAGGTTCAGAGTTACAGATAAAAGATGCCGGTCCCAGCTCTCAAGGGCTGGGCATTCTGGGTTCCTTCACTGCTGACTTCCTGTTGTGCCTTTGAAAGCCTTCTGTCAAGCTGACAGATGTATGCCATAAACCTGAATTTGAGTACGTAAAGCCTTTTTGTTGTGGAATAAGCACAGCAGAAAATACCACTCTGGGAGAGAGTTGTGGAGAAGCGCAATTTGAGAGAAAGAGACATGCAGGAAGGTGCAGATGTCTGGTGGAGCTCTGTGGGTGTGGAGAGGGATAAGGATGCATAGCTGCCAGAAACAGTGTGACTGAGGAGAGAAAAGCCCAAGTACCCCCAGTGAAGGAATCCGATTTTTCTGACATAGGGGTGGGAACGAAAAAGGTGCTCGTGCTGTGAGCCCTTCCAGCCTGATTCCTGGTATGGGTGGTATAGGTAGGAAGTTAGCTATGGACAGTCAGACTCAAAGTCTTGACTTTTATTCCAAAGGGGTTCTTCAAGGCCTAGCCACCTTCCACCCATCAATCAGAATCCTTGGGTTGATTCTGAGGCCATGTTGGATGAGGCAAGAGCTGATTCTACAGAATACCTATGTGTACCTACAACATGGATTCTGTTGTTGTTGGTAGGCGCTGTAGAGTTGATTCTGACCCATAGTGACACTGTATAGGGTTTCCAAGGCGTGGTTGGTGAGCTTCAACCACCAACCCTGCAGTTCAAACCAATACTGCAGTCCAGTGCATTAACTCACAGTGCCACACCAGGTGGACATCAATCTCTATTTCCCCTAATTCCTTCACACTGATAATATTCCAAGGTTGAATCCCCTGTTCCTCCTAAAGTTGGGCTTCCAGCTTCTAGAAATACTGGGAAGTGGAAGTAGCTCCACACCTAGCACTGTGCTCAGGAAACATCATCAAAGTCAATTAACAGATGGGAGGAAAAGTCAGTTCCCTTGACAGCACAAAACTACAGGAAGTCGCTCTACCCTACAATCTACTTTGAAAGAACAGTGGATTTAAAGTGATAACCAAAGTGCTTATGGGAAATTACAATTTAAAGAGTAATATCTCTATTCCGGCACCCAATCGCCCTGTGACTGAAGAGATCATTTGTATCATATCCCTCCTCTTGTAGAATAGGAAAAGGCTGATTAAAGGTATGGTGGAAAAGAATAGTGGTTTTTGATTTTTCAGAAAGCAGACCTAAGTTCGAATCCTAACCATCCCTCTTAGCAGTTGCATAAACTTAGATGTGTTGCTTAACCACTCAGATTTTTAACTACTTCCACTATAAAGTGGGTGCAACCCATTATTCTGCTTTACATTGTTATTGTGATAAATAACAAATTCACATTGATATTTTGACACTTGAAATAACCCCCCAGTGGTAGCTCTTATCATTGTTTATTAATCAGTTGCGGGAAAAGAATTAGGCTGTTTCTCCACCAGCCTTATGAAAGGCTCTGTTGACACTAAGTAATAATAATAGTCCAGCACCTGTCTGTCAGTGTATTGTACTGTGGTAGCTTGTGTGTTGCTATGGTGCTGGAAGCTATGTCACTGGTATTTCAAATACGAGCAGGACACCCATGCTAGACAGGTTTCAGCTGAGTTCCAGAGACTAGAGAGACTAGGAAGAAAGGCCTTATGATCTACTTCTGAAAATTGGCCAATGAAATCTAGAGCACTGTCTGATTTGCTTGCTTTGGATCCATTATCAGGAGGGATGAATTGCTAGAGGATGGCATCATGTTTGCGTATTAGTAGAGAGTCAATGAGGGTGAAGAAGATGGACTGGCATAATACCCATAACAGTGAACTTGAAAATGTTGATAATTGTAAGGATGACGAAGGATCAAAAAATGTTTCATTCTGTTGTACATAAGATCACCATGAGTTGACATTAACTTGATGACAACTACCTATCTCATAATAATGAGCATAATGAATAAATCACAGCATAATGAATAAATCACAGCAGAGGAAAGAGACTAAGTGCATAAGGGTGAGTGCCTGGTAGGTAAGATTTGCTTACCTGAATCACAGCAGTATAGTTAGCAGGTGTGAAGACTGGGCTGTTGTCATTCACATCAGAAATATCTATGTTGACAGTTGCTGTTGACGACATGGCAGGGACTCCACTGTCTGCTGCCTGGACAAGCAAGGAGTATCCAGACACCTGTCAAAACACAAAACACTGGCAGTAAAGAAGTGAAGCACTTATTCCTTCTGTTCACACTCAGAGGAACTTCAGAACGAGACAGTGCTTTGTGAAAGACCTGCCATCTTCACTCTCATTCTCTTGACCAGAATTTTTCAATCTTGGCATGACTGACATTGGGGCAGGAACATTCTTTGTTTTCGGGGGGTTCATCTATGCATGTTAGGATGTTGAACATTATCCCTGCCTCATGGATGACAGTAGCACCTCCCACCCAGTTGTGACAACCAAAAATATCTCCAAACATTGCCAAGTATCTCTGGGAGTGGGGTGGGGTAAAAATCACCTCTCCTCCATTAGAACCATGCTCTAGGCCTTTGTTTTAAAGTTGTCACCAAGAATCTATTTAATTTGTCCATTTTTATACTTCAGAAGTCATGGGTATATATCACATAGTGAAGTCTTTCTGCTTTTCAGTATCTACTAGGACATCTTTTTTTTCCAAATTTAAGTTCTCTTTGAAGAAACATATCTTTGGTCAAGAAAGAAAATGCTTAGAAACTTGGTCACATAAGGAATTTTTCTGGGTTATTCTTTCTGACCTGGATACTTTCAGGTATGTACTCACCTAGGGCTAACGTTCTTATTAAAGCTATAACCACAGGATCCCAGTGCTCAAGGTACTTTTCTGCTCCCTCATTCTAGGAAGCAAGACATTTCAAACCATCTACAAAGATGCATATTTGTAAGAACTGCCAGCATCTATTGGCAGGCAATTTTTTTGAAGGTCTAACTAAAAAAAAACTAATGCTGATTTTTAGCCCATCCCGCTTTACTCTCATTGCTTACAATAAAGAAACTTCATATTCATGCTCAAGAACTGTCCCCCTGATTCTAATGAAGGGATAGGTGAGAACAGGAAGGGATCTACTGACTTAAACTAGCTTACCCGTTCTCGATCCAATTTTTTCTTAACCTTAACAAGTCCCAGGACAGGATCTACAGCAAATTCATTGTCTCGATCTCCATTCACAATGGAAAAATGAATCTGTCCATTGGGCTGGCTGTCCACATCTTCTGCTATTAGCTTTGAGGAAAAGAAGCATGACAAAGAAAAGATACATCAGGGACAGAGAAAAGATTTATTCTGAGTCCTGTTGTTGTTGTTATGTGTTATCGAGTGGGTTCCAACTCATAGCAATCCTGCATAGGATTTCCGAGAGCTGCTGGTGAGTTCAAACTGATACTTTTAGTCCAGTGCTTTAGGCTACATGCCACAGGTCTGTTAAACTGGGCAGAACTCCTGCTGGTTAGGAATTTGCCCTTGTGGGAAAGATGATCAGCTGTCTGAAGAAGGGTAGTGCAAGTACTGAAGTTGCCATTTCATTTCTCTGTGAATTCTTAACAGCCTAAAGTCTGATGCTGCCCAACCTAGGAATGGGTGAGAAGGTAAAGACTGATGTTTGCTAGGTCTGATTTCCCAGAGGCCTTGAGCCATTTAGGACAACTGATAAGGATCTTTATGATTTCTGAATTGTACACAGCAATGGCCTCTGCCTCAGAGTCAGGCTCTCTAAATCTAAACATTTTAATGTTAAGAAAACCAAGAAAATTCCCTTTCCCACATAGCAAGTACACTGCCCCAGTGTCTGCTGGGAGGTAAGTATATGAAAATATTTTGCAATGTTCAGGAAGGAGAGAGGGTCCTGAGAAGTCCACCTCCAATGTGTAAAGAATGTACTGTTATTCACAAAAGCCAAAAGGTGGATAAGACTCAAGCATCCATCACCAGATGAATGGATTATTTAAAAAGTAGTTTATTCAAACAATGGAATATCATTCAGTCACAAAAAGAAATTAATTTCTGATACAAGCTATGACATGGATGAACCTTGAAAATGTGCAAAAGTGAACGGGCAAATGCTGTTTGATACAAACGGGCAAATATTGTCTGATCCCACTTAGGTGGAATATTTAGAATAGACAAATATATGGGGGGAAAGTAGCTCATTGGTTCCAGGGACTGCAGGGAGGAGGAAATGAGGAGTAATTGTGATGAGGCTGGAGTGGGATGGAGCTGGTTGCACACTGTGAATGTGATTGCTGTCACTGAAATGTGCTCTTGAAAACAGCTAAAATGTTAAGTTTTGTGGTAAAATATGCATATTTTGCCACAATAAACATAAGAAAGAAATAATGCATTGCTATTTAGCAGAGGGGGCAGGACTCAAAGATAAGGAGAAAGGACCTGTAAGTATCAAGCTAGGGGTGGGGTGAGATGGTAAATATGGGACTCGTCATTTCCAAAATCACAGTTTGGGTCTAAAAGAACTAGAGTTCTCAGGACACATGGATTTTTTTTTTACTCATACTAGAAAACATCATTCTGGATCATTCTGGACAGGGCTTTTCTAGGAATGACTCAAAATCCCATTTTAGCTGTTCTACCCTGTGTGTCTTTGTGTGTGTGTGGGGGGGCAGTAGGAGAGTCTACTCTATGCTTAACTACCCAATAACTTATCAGCTAAGGTCACAAACAACTAGGAATCATCATTACATATTTATTCCATAATTTGTGGTTTTTTTTCTCATAAAAAAAAAAGGGCTCCTGGGAGGAAAGTGACTATCAGTCACCTACGCCTTCATATCAATTAATCTATCTGACCTTTTTAATATAAAAACAGGAGGAGCAGTTAAGCAATGTTTAGAGCTTTTGGTGCCTGATTAGACTTTCTAGGGTTAAAGGACACAAAAAAGGGAAAGTGTGAAGAAAATCCAAGATAAGCTTTGCTGCTTTTTTACTCTATATAGGGTTATTTGCTCCAGATATCCCAACCTCCCACCCCATACTGGCACCTACCAAAGTGACCGAGTCTCCGATTAAGGCGTCCTCGCTGATGACTGCACTGTAGATGTCTTGGCTGAATTTGGGAGGATTGTCATTCACATCTGTGAGGTTGATACTAACTGTAGTCACAGTGCTCAGGGCTGGGGTGCCCCCATCTTTGGCTTCCACAACCAGGTAAAACTTTTTGCATAATTCATAGTCCAGTACTTCAGAGACAGAGATCCCCCCTTTGGAGAAATATAGAGACTTTTCGATTTGATTAGGGAAAAACATTGGTCAGCAGTTCTGTAATCTTGGTAATATTTAGAACATCATTTCCAGCCAAGAATTTTAGATATTCAGTAATCTGTTTATTTAATGCCCTACTGAAAGCATCTCAGAAGTCTGATTAATGCTGTCAGTTAAAGCACAGCTATCCATCAAGCTCAGCACTGAGAAAATTAGAAGTCTTTGCAGGTTTCTGTAACTTCTCTCAAGCAGTCACACAAACTCTGGCATTGTTCACTTTTACACAACTGGGGAGTAGGGACACGAAAGAGCATCCCTGGTATGCATCTCTCAAATCCTCTGGTAAAAACTCAGGCTGACTGAGAAAGAGCCGAGATATGTGGGCAGAATGGATGACTCCACTTCTCATCAGCAAGCACATGGAGACTGTCAGAATGATCTGAATGGTCTTAATGGCTAGGGTTTGCCTTGCACCTGTCTAAAACAATTATGGCCAAAAGAGAGCAGAGATCTCCGAAATTTCAAAGTATGGTGGCAAAGTGGAAAACTGCAGTGCCTAGAAATCAAATAGTCCAGTGGCCAAATACTAAGTGTGAGTTTAGTATCCACAACAACAGAATAGAAATGACAGTGCCTATGTAAGACAGGATTTACACCCTCGGAAACCCTGTACAGGGTCGCTATGGGTCGGAACCGACTCGACGGCACTTAACAACAACAACAACAATGTAAGACAGAACAGAACAACCCCATGGGGTTTCTGAGGCTCCAGTTCTTTATGGAAGCAGACCTTTCTCCTGTGAAACAGTTGGTGGATTTGAACCTACAACCTTTTGGTTAGTAGTCTAATGCTTAATACACTGTGCCACCAGGACACCTTAAGGATTCTACTACTGACCATCAACTAAGCAAGCAGAACCAATGACAACAGCTAGCTGGGTGCTGCCCCATGAAGATTCTGTTCCTTCCATATTTACCCTAGCTAGAACCAGAAACCAGTACTGCATCCTGTAATGGCCATGCTCCCTTGCAGAGCAGTCCTCAAGGACATTTACCATCTTTTCCACATGTATCACGAGGGCCAAGGTGAAGATGTCACCTTTGATAACACTTCCAAACAGAGAACTTTTCTGGGGGTTAAGAATATATGATGGTGGTTGGTGGTTATGTGCCATAGTGTCTGTTCTGACTCATAGCGACCCTGTATAGGGTTTCTGAGGCTGTAAATTTTTACAGGAGCAGAAAGCCTCATCTTTCTCCCATGGAGCAGCTGGAAGTTTTGAACTGCTGACTTTGTGGTTAGCAACCTGAATTGTAACCCACTACATTGTATACTAGGTGAGAAACTGAAGTCAGGCTTATAATAGCCACCTTTTTCTTCCATAATTAAATTTTCTCAGCAATTACCACCCTTAGTGCCTTATTTTGCATCCCAGGCTTGTTATCCAATGCCAAATTTAAACAGTGGCTAGCCATTTGTTCCCATGGTGTTCATATACAATGGTCATAACTAAGCAGGCTAAGAGTAACACATATTTAAATGAAGAAAATCCCCATACATTTTAATTTGAAATAATGACCTTAATAAACAGAGTTACTGCTGGGAGAAGCTGTTAATGCATTCTTCCATCAAGATTTTCACTTTCCAATACACTTAAGGGCAGAGACGAAAGTATTCCCTTCAGCTTTGCATCCCCTACAAAGCAACTCGATGGCACTTCACAACAACAACAACAATAGAGCAGGAGTCCTGGTGTGGCACAATAGAGTAAGCACTGTACTACAAGATGGGTTTCAACCACAAGTTTGGCAACTCAAACTCATCCACCGCTCCTCAAAAATCCTAAACAGGGTTGCTATGAGCCAGAACCGACTCAACGGCACTTCACAATAACAACAACGATACAGCAGTATTATATAGAAGTCAGAACACAGATTCTAGTTTCAGGGAGATCTGAATTTAAATTCTAGAAACTTGCTTACTAACAGCTAACATTAGGGATATTTTGAAGGATTTCTAAACTTCTGTTCTCTTGTATGAAAAAATGCAAAATGATTTCTTAGGAACTAAGGAGCTCTGGTAGCGTAGTGGTTATGAATCGGGCTGCGAACCTTAAGGCCA